TTAGAGCTCTGAATAAGGGTCAGAAGTGCCAGTTCTGATACCCACCTCGGACAACCTGATGCAAAGTAGTACCTCGGATTTCAGAGTAGTTTGCATCAGGTTACACTAGAAAATATATGTATCCAAGTGAAAATAACACTCTCTTGCATTGTCCATCAATAAAAAATTCTAGATGAAGTTGACACATTTTATTCGTGAAAACCTCTAAATCTAGATGAAGTTTTATTCAAGTTTATTCGTGAATACTTTTAAATCTACTTCTTTTGGGCAATGATCAGCCCTTTTGGATCATCAAGTTAAAATCCCATCCCAACTTAGAACAGTGCCTTCAGATCTCATTTTCTGCAAAATATCAGAACTTGACAATAGTCTAGCTGAATTTTTGTCAACATGTTTTTATTGTCCCAAAAAGTTACTCATTTTGATGTCGAATATTGAAATTTAATTCATAATATTGAATAAATTTCAAAGTTTCCTTATTATCCATTAGTTTGCAATGTCTTATAAAAGAAAATTTTATTCTCTAGTAAGTCCTTTAGGTTTTCTTAATCCGAGAAACTTTTCCAGCTACAAAGTTTTTTTTAAATAATTCTTCAGCTTGCAATGTCCTGTCAGAAAATAGCTCATTAGATTAAGATTCTCTGTTTTAAGAACCAAAAAAAAACTTTTTTTCACTGATTCTCCCATTTATTTATTCTCCCATGATCTCTTCAACTTTTCTCAAACCCGAAAGATTTTTTCCAGTAGTTTTCTCTTAATGTTTATTCTCTCCTCAAACGCTATTTTTTAAAAGTATGTAAAGTGTATATATGTATGTAAATGCAGAGATTGTCGATATTAACCCTTTCCACCCCGGCGGCAAAATTCATGTAAATCTCGCAAATCGCAAGTGGAAAAGGAAATATTTCTAATTTTTATATTTAAAAAAAACATTAAATGATTAAGTAGATAAAGTAGGCACTTCAGGTTGCCAAAGGCTGCTCTAAACAGACCCTAAAGGTTATAGAAATTTCATAAATTTTGTATAGCATTAGAGCTTGTCAGATCTTTAAAAAAATTAAGCTTTCTGGAAAAAAATCTAAGAAACTTACGAAAAATCCAAGGTTCTGACATGAACCAGACACATGTAGAAGTTGCCTAAGAGTATTTTTTTATTTATTTATTATTTAATAGACAATCAGAATACATTGTTTCTATAAGCCTATGTGATCATATTATATATGGCGTTTAGAGGTCTCTATTGAAGTGATCATCTGCTAGAAATAATCTATAGCTGCCTGTATATAATTTAATATTGCAGATACTTTAGCCATTTCTCTTAATATTTCTCTTAATATTTATATTAATTATGGTATCCTCCTTTATTAATATTTTATATTTTTTGAACTTCAAACGATTTTATAATATTATTTACAATTTTCAATTCAGATTATATTTTTATGTAATTTTAAATTGCAAAACAAATAAAAATATTTAAAATAAGTTGCTTCTTAACAAAGTGATTATACTATGATTAACTATATTATTAATTTTAAAAAATAATATTGTCACATTATAAAACCTTGCATATATAATAAATTTCTAATATTAGCCAACACATTTTATTTATTAGTGTAGATGCCATAAATTTCGCCAAGTTCTCAAGAACCCAAAAACCGCGCAACCGCTGAATATTTATATCTTTGATCGGATATCTCTGTCGAAACATTTTGTATGTAAGACTCACTTTTCGTCTTTTTACTAATCAGATGTCTCTGGATCAAGTTTATTACCTTATGGTAATGTATTGAAATTAAGTAATATACCGATGAAAAATATTGACCGAGTGTAATAATTCAACACATAAGGATAATGCATATTTATTGTCACGGTGATAAATTATAATTTAATATTATTTACATACCACTTAATATTGATAATGTAATCGATACCTATGATATACAGCCAAAAAGGTATTATATTTTATTGTTAATATTTTATAATAAAAATTTTATATGTGAATGAGTGATTTTGATTTATTTATTACGATGTGTAATGCGGTTAAGTGTGTAAGAAACTTCTTTTATAACTGCTTTCAGAATATTTTCAAATATAAATATTTGAAGGCGGGTCCGAATTTATGGAATTATTATTATGAGGCTTTTCGAATTATGTGATGATATGTTACCTGAAGGTAAAAGGCTCACACCAGAACTGATTAGAATATATGATGTAGTCATTTGTCATAGATAATGATATATTTTTTATTTATACACTTATATTAGTACCTTGTTAAAAATATTGTTTTAGTAAATTATTTGATTTTTATCCAAAATAATTTTGAACAATTTATTTGAACGATTAACGATCAAAAAAACTCAAAAAAATAAATATACTATCATCCAACAGTCATTTGATAAAATAAGAATTTGAAAGAACCTAAAATTTAATTCTAATAAATTCCAATTACGAAAACCAGTAAATAACTAGTGGTGTTTGGCATCGTGCCTTAAGGCAAATTGCTGAAACTTCCCGTACCATAATTTTTTTTTTAAATTAATTGTTTTTTAAATTTTGTAAAAAATACATTTTTGAGAAATTTCAATTTTTTTAAAAAAATTGACCCTTTGACTAATCAGTACGGCTCCTTATTCATAGGAATCGAATGTTTTTTGAATAATTGAAATCGGTCAAACCGTGTTTCCGAAATCGTCGATGAAAATTCGTATCCGCACACACATACATACACTCACACACATACATCCATTTTTTTCCTAAAGTATTCCAAAATGTTCAGAAACTTTTGAATGAAAATTTACATTTTATATTTTCAGATTGCGAAGTTAAAAAAAACATTCTTGATACAAAATTATATTTTATGCATCAAAAATAAAATTTACTGATATTTCAATTCCTTAATAAAACTTTAGAATTAGTTGCATGTTTTAAATATTAACAAAAAATATTTCTAGAGTAAATGATTCCAAAGATATTTCAATCTTTTTTATCGACATTGGCATATTTTATTGAGTCATACACTACATTAATTTAAAGTCATGAATAACAAAATAACACTTGAAAATCGATAGAAATTTATAAGTGTACTTGAAGTAACAAAGTGTTTATAATAACTAAATCTTGTTTGAATAGGATCACTAATTTTGCTTAAAAATATTGCGCAATTAACTGCTATTGAAAATATTTGGAGAGCCACGTAATACTATATGATATTTTCACATTCACAATTAATTTTTTATCAATTTGATGTAATTTAAAATTTGATTTGTGAGAAAATTATTAATATAACAAGTACTTTTTTCTTATCATTATTATTTCTCTGAACACTTTCTAAGTAAAAAAAATATTTATAAACTTGTATTAAAAAGTTTAGTAATCAAAGAAGTAAGAAATTTTCAATGAAATTTGTGATTACTTCCCACACATGGAATTTTTATTATTTTTACATATTAAAAGCTTTGTTAAAACTGTTAAATCTAACACAATATCAGATAATCTTAAGGCAATAAAGTTCACTATAAAGGTGTTAATTAGTGAGACATCAAGTCCAAATTATCACCTCAAGAAGTGACAATAATCTTTTGGTGACACTTGTTCACACTATTATAAAGCATCGATTTTATATAAATAGGATTAAGTTCTGGGAAATCGTGATAATATTTTGATCATCTCATATAATCTCATATAGGTAAAAAAGATGAAGTTAATAAGATTAACTGGCACTTGAGGAGATTAGATTTTAATTGAAGTCAAGATTATTAAAATATAAAAAATATAATAGTATTGGTAAAATCTCAAAAATATCTTAAAACAATAAAATCAAAAATTTAATTAACAATTATCTTCACAACTTAGGTAAAGAGATTATCTTGGTAATAAAAATTCTGATCTAATACTTTGAACATCATTCGACTGTACTTGCATTTAGATTGAAAATATTTTTAATCCAGCTCTCTCAAAATTACTAACCCATGATAAATTTTTATATTATTTGTCACATTAATAAATATGCCAAGATTAAACTGCGACATTGACAAATTCTCTTCTCAATCTATATATTTCGAATAGATTGATCATCATCATATTATACGCTCATTATAAAAAACAAAGTTGTTTCGCGTCCTTAACGTGATGATTCCAATGTTTATTTCCTTTAATAATTCCATATTTAATTAATTATCCATAATTTATAATAATTTATGTGACTAACGTTTTGCATATTTTACGTTCCACAAATATGGGCATTCAATCATTTTGAAGGTTTTGAGATGAACTGTAATTACGATCCGATTGTTGTAATTTTGTAAGAAATCGATGATTTATTGGTAGATTGCGTGTAAATCGAATTTTGTAAAAAATTTTTTTTATATTTATTAGCTTTTGATATACATCATAGGGCCAGATGCCATTCTTACAATTGTTTACTACAAATTCTTATTGCATTAAAAAAGTACTTAGATAGTGTAGTTATTTTTGCTTTGTTTGTGTGTAAATCTCGCACAGAAAACAGGCGAAATTTACTGGGATATCGTTTAATTACAAAATAAATTAATAAGGAAACTCTTCCGAGTTTTCATTTATCATAGACGTATCATAATACTACTGTATATATATATATATATATATATATATACTCGTATACACAATTGTATATAAATTTTTGTATAATTTCAAAGAACAATTATATTGCATTGAATTCCATCGATAGGCGTGAAAAATATTATACCATAATAATTTATAGCACCTTAAATTTTTTATTCGCTCATAACAATGTGTAATTGATTTGTAGAATGCTATAATTAAATACGTTATAAATCGTGAAGTAAAGCTTTAGGTATATAATTATGATCTTAACGAATATAGAGAGTGCACATACCGGTGCATCCGAAGAGAATCTGGAGATTGAGTATGTTTGTAAGGAATTAGCACCTATCTAAGCAATATTTTTTTATAATTATATATATATATATATATATATATATATATTTAAATCTTATGTCTACCTGGTTTATCGAAGTCAGCAGCATTTCCAAAAGAAAAGGCTCCTTGGATGTAAATGAGAGCAATCCACCAGAGCAACACCACAGACTTAAGTATCATTTCTTGCATTGTCCATAATTATGAAATACACATAAATTTGTGTATATTTCCATTATTCACACACTCACATTTTAAATTTAAACTCATTTGTGTAATTTATTGAAAGTCACATCATACAAATAATAAAAAGTATGAAGAAAATTTTAGTTGTTTGAGTCACATTATTTTACAAATGATGGAATCGATAAATTTACTAAATTGAAGTTAAGACGTTCTCATTTAAATTCACAGAAGTTACGTAACTATATGTTATGTTGAATATTGAAAATTAAACCTGAAATAAAAAAAATAATTTCAGTATGAATATAAAATAAATTAATTATTAGTTCATTTTTCTGTACTAATAAAAGCCTATAATCTTTCTACACACTCCCATAGGAGTCCTTTGGAAGGCTCCAGGTATTTCCAACAATAATTTTTAGAAAATGTGCAATTTTATTTTTAGTGAATGTTTTAATAATCTAATAATAAATAAATCTAATGTATCTAATAATAATCTAATAAATCTAAAGAAGAGCACAACCCAAAACTTGAAAGTATTTAAAAATAAATATGATTTCACATAAAATGTAGGCTTTTAGTTAGTTCAGAAAAATAATAACAGCTTAATTTTTATATAAACAAGCATATATTTATTAATTACGTAAATATAAAATCTTTATAAGATATAGGAATGTGCATCTAATTATGCATGCATGTATTTATATATTTTATTGATTTTTTATGGATTTATTGTTTCTTAACATGTTAAAGCACTTAAAAAGTACTAACGAGTTTTTACACTGTGAGCAAATACATGTTATGTATTTAAATATAATTACTATTAAATGCTTTGAACAATTTTCAAATAACTATATTGTTTGTAAATATAATTATTAAATCATAAATCGTCATATAATTTATATAGGTACTTTGTAAAAAATCATAAACTATCACATAATTTTTATTATATCTACGGAGGAAACATAATGTGTTCAGGATTGTATATATTTATGATTAAAATACAGTTTCTGATCAATAAGAATTCATGAATTTCAGGTTTGAATTATGAAATCTTTATTGCTACAATTCATGTTTATCTATTAAATTGGCCAGGTGACCTCAGATAAAACCATAGACTTCTCTATTGTTTTTTACCCGATTTTAACCTACATTTTTTTTTATTTTAAAATAGCTTATATAATCGTAAGAAAAAAATTTATTAATTAAATTTACCTCGTCTTAGCAATACATCTCATATTCATCTTTTGTCGCATTTTGTTTCGAAGATTTCATACAAAATTTAAAAAAAAAAGGTTATATTTATTATAAAAGTAAATTCTATTTTTTCTGGATTTTAAGTCATTTTGTGTAGCAAAAACTTATGGTGTAACGAAGATTTCATACAGAATTTTGAAAATATCGCTATATTTATTATAAAAGTAAATTCTATTTTTTTGGATTTTAAGTCATTTTGTGTAGCAAAAACTTATGGTGTAACGAAGATTTCATACAAAATTTAAAAAAATGGTTATATTTATAATAATAAGTAAATACTATTTTTTCTAGATTTTAAGTCATTTTGTGTAGCAAAAACTTATGGTGTAAATAAATAACAAAGTTAATGTAGAGAACCTGCTTCCAATAACACCTCATTGAAATATGTGATAACACCATGATTAACAATACTATACAACAATTGCCCCGCTAATGACACCTACATTAGTAATAATTTAACCAAGTATTGACTGGCAAAAGTGTCTGTCAACAATTTTCTATGAGCCGCTAATTTGTTGCAGGGATTCCTCGAGACTTCGTCATTTGTCCATTTATTTCGCTTCGGGAGAAAAGAAGCCCGTTACATTATTATAAAGAATAATATAAGTCTATCGAGAGACGTCAGAAAACACCATTCTTCATCACAAAAGGTGTACGCACAAATATACGAGTATTCTTTCAGGTTGAGGTATGCGGACAGAGCTGAATTGATTCAAGTTACACTTTAAATAATATTAAATTTGATATATTATTGTTTTGTGAAATTAAAGAAAATTTACTCTAAAATTCACAAACAAATTTTATAATATTTTGCAATATTTTTTAAAATAGTTATAATTTATTACTAATGAATTACGCTTCATTATTTAGAGTCTAAATAATGAAGTGTAATTAATTAGTCATATTTTATAACTACTTTAAAAAATATTGCAAAACATTGCAAAATCTATTGCAATAAATTCGTTATTGTTTATAAGAAATTATTTATAAGTAAATAGTTAAGATAGTTAAGATATCATTATCATTAAAATATTGTTATTATTATAACTATTGAGTTGGTTTTCCAACATTTCAATATAGTATACTATGTCCCATTACGACTGACAATTGTAAATTCCCCAAATTTACTAAATGTACTTAACTGGACTGTTGTAAATAAAATGGAGAATGAAAAAATAATAATAAATTCAAATATCAAATAGGACTCATGAATTTTTTGCCATCACCATATAAAATCTGAATTTGACTGATGTAACATGAATAATCCTAAAACTCTATGAATGCTAGGTTAGAGCTTTTAGATAAGAGCTTTGCAAAATAAATGTAATATTTTTATATGCAAGGAAGGAAATAAATTTAAATAAAAACGTACCAAAATGTCCAATTTTCGTAAAATTGGACTTAAAAAGTAAGTCAGTACAGTCAAAATATTTTTACATATTCAGTCAGTACAGTCAATATTGGCCCAGTTTTCACAAAAAGTGAAAGCTTAAACTTGTTTATACAATGAAAATTGTTCAACAATACTCTTTCATTACTATTTCATGAACTGGAAATACTTAATAATGGATTTAAAAATAAATTCATCACAAGAATGTGTTAATGACTAAATGATGTGCAATAAAACTTTGCATAATTTGTGCTCACTTGCTAGATTAATCAAGGTCTGTGAAAAATAATAAAGTTGGTAGAGGACCTGTGGATTATTCTTGTGAAAGATGTATGAAAATTATGAAACTGCAATATGATATGTGTAACCGTAATCAATAGCCATAGAACTGTTTGAGATTGACTGATAAAAAAAATCACGAAAAATCACGTGACGGAGGGAGGGATTAAGTAAGATATCACGTGTATACATTTTTTACTTGCATTTTCAAAAAAAAAAAAACAAAAAAAAATTACGTTTTTTCGTAAATTCAAAAAAATTGCTCGGAAAATTTTACGTAACTAAAAATACACTTGATGTTTGAGTGGAAGGAGGGTTATTTCTATATTTCACTATATATCACCAAGAGAGAGGGGTGTCCAAAAATTCCTAAGCAATCGATCACGTGATTAATGGAAGCCCCCTTATGTGCAGACTGCACAGTACAGTTAGTAGAGTTTTCAAAAAGACTTATTATCAAAGGCTTTTTTAAAATTTTCAGATTTTCACAAAAAGTTTGTTCCCAGTTTTTCTTTCAACATTATGCAGATTGCAAAATCATAATTTGTGTAAAAATTGTAAAATTGCACTGAGTTGCACTGAGTTTAAAATAAAACCAAACAAAAGGATTTATTGGTTTGGATTAGTCTATTTCGGCTACTTTTTTTAAGAATCTTTTATATTTGGCAGATTTTGAATACAAAGCAATCTATGATAAACAAGTAGTAAATTAAGATAACAATGTTTTCCAAGAATAGATCTACAAAAATAATGCTCATGTTCTCTGTTTTCAGTTGTAGTTAAGTTCCTAGATCTTATATCTCAAGTTTCTTCGATTTATTTGTTCCCAGTGAGACCCTTTCGAATGCATACGAACAACGAATCGTTTAATATTTTCTTATTCCGATGTTGACTAAAAACTCTTCTAAATAATGACCGATGTATTTAGCGTGGCTCGCCGCTAAAGCACTCACTGTTTATACAGTCTTTCGCGCTAATATCTGTTTTACACACGCGGACGAATAATATTTGCTGTTGCGACTTCGGGAATACAATGGCGCGAAAAACATCGACGGCCTTTGTCGAGATTAATATTTTTATTGATTGTGTTTTCGTATGTATTTGTTTGGCTTTTTACGACCCGAAGAACCAATGACGGTTTTGTTCTCTTGTGCAGATTCCCGAAGAAATTTTTCTTTAACACTCGAGGTATATTAATCGAAAAGACGCCGAGGGATCCGTAAGTTCAAAGTCAACTTTTCCGCAGAGGTTGTGACATGAGAAGTATTTTGCAATATTGCACCTGAGAAAGAAGTATCGTAAAAGTTAGTAGTTATTGTGTTAAGTAGTTATGAGATGGACAGAGATGATGGTGCATTATTTAAGGAATGAGTTTTTTGGAATGGTAAATTTCATTGAAATATTCAGTCTTTCGACAGAGGCTGAATTTTTTTTAATCAACTATTCTGATCAATATATGCGACTAGGGTAAGAATCTGGGTGTATAGATGATCAGTACATGGTTTAAGAATCTTTTGAAGTAAACAACGTCTCTCTCTAAACGCTTCTGTGATTTCTCTGTCATCAGTTTGTTGCCCACATGTTGCCCCTGCATTCTAGAATCATCAATTCAAAACACCACTTTCAATTGATGTTTCAAGAACAGACAACTTTATTTGGTATTTGTTATTTATTATTATATAAGCTTAATATGATTTTTAAATTATTTATCATATAAGCTTAATATGATTTTATAAAAATTTAAAATGATAAATTAAAATTACCATACCCAAAATGAGACGCCAGACTTCTCTCAATCGAGATCTCAATCGAGTCTCTATAAAATATCTGATAATTTGATGTGCAAATGTCTAATGATCATTTTTGACCGTCAGATGGCATTTTTTTTTACTTTTTTTACTAGATCTCCAAAACCGCTAGACCTGCCTTCATAAAAATTTGATCAGTTCTTCATCTTGTTCATACAAGTAAAATGTTTTTTGAATTATTCAAATCGAACGCTCCGTTTTCTTAAAAACTGAGTTACCGATTCTGGCACTTTTTGCTCCATATCTTCGGAACGGCTAGACCTGCCTTCACCAAA